TTGACCTTGTATTAATTGGGAGGTAGATAATATTAGCAGGTGTTTCAACAATTTTAAAACCGGGTGGTACAGTGGGGAAAAATGTATGAATCACGTGACTCGGTTTCCCATTTACGAATGAGGATGTTACTATATTTAATTCGAGATTTATAGTATTAACCTTAAGGATGTTAACAGTCTCATCTGAAATATGACTTTGAAATTTGCTCAACTTTCTATTTTTGAAACCTAGTAAAGGTCCAATTGAGTCGGAAGGAGTAAAATCAATATCCTTTGAACATTTTATTTCACTTTTTAAGGTATTATTGTTTGACTGTATTGTAATGAGAACGTTATGTTTTATATTATAAGCACTTTTAAAACTAGAGGATGTACCTTCAATGTCTGTTTCAGTTTCACCTCTTTTATCATTAAATATTTTTCTTAAATACTTTTGCAAATCCGCAATTTCATATGAACCTGTAGGTATTTTTATACCAACTTGAGATCCTTCATTGTCGATATAATAAAACTTATTACACCCCTCTTCAACATTTGGGATGGAATTAAAGGTTTCAAAATTAATTAATCCTAAAACATATCCATGTTCACTTTTTAATTCAATTTTTGGGAAAATTTCACAACTTAAAATGGGACCTTTTCCAGTTAATACAAATAGGTGTGACATGTTATCGGGTTGAGGAACTAATAAACACTAACACAATTAATTAGTAATATTTACTTATATTCACAAAGAAATTTTAAACATAAATGACCACAAATTTCAGTATTATAGTTTTGTTCTCTGTTATAATTATACAATATTACACAATTTTTTAAATACTTGATTACTTCTAATGGAGGTTTTAAATTTCCAAAACTGTCATAGTATTTAACTTGTAGTCCAGTTTTGCGTAGAGCAACCCAATGGGTCCCAGGTCCATCATCGTTGTCCAAGTTAATTATAACTGCTTCTTTTTCCCACGGAGACGTAGGCAGATTGTCTTTTGCGAACACACCTCTAAAATTTGGGATTTTTAATATTTTAGCATATTTCTCAATGTCAAAGTTACTTAGTGCGTATGGTCTAAAAAAATTCCCATTCCTTGCTTGTAAGGTCTTAAGTACAACCCCTTACCTTTATGAATTTTAACATCATTTACATTTTCCTTTTTTGCACGTCTCACTTCATTGATAGCTTTATATACGGAAGCTGCTCCTCCAGCTAGACTTCCTATTGCAGACAATCCTGCAAATAGTGGTAATAGAAATGGTAGAGCTCCTCCAGACTTTGGAATTGGAATAATCCTGGGTTTTTTTATATTATTTTTTTTATTACCCTTAACTGCTTTTCTTGCGGCTTTTAAAACTGCAGGTACCAACACTTTTAACTCTTTGCTCTTGCTTTTCTTGAGGACGTTTTTAGCTGCTCTTATAGCATCTCGAAGATGTTTTTTCTTTTGTACCTTCAAACCTTTTTTCTTCATACCTTTAACTATTTTAGTTTTTTTACCATTAGGTGTATTTTTTTTCACTCTTTTCATTCCCGCACCTAGTTTCACCTTTGCTTTCATTGCGTTCGTAACTGCGTAAGCTGCAATCCTTTCACCCTTCTTAGCGTCTGGAGCTGACACTCGCGTCCAAGCTCTCTCTGCTAATATCCTATCAGCCGTATGTCTACTTTTCAAATCCTTACTCTCAGCATAAGCGATATCGTGATCCTTGCAGTAACTGTCGAGTGGGTTAATACCTACGTCACCTCTTGCAAGCCGAGTCCGTAAATCTGTTCCAGGGCCACAGAATTGATAGCCGGGTATGTGCAATTCAAGTGGAAGACTATTAATTAATTTGTTTAGCAGACCACCTCCTCGCTTGAAGTCTAAGACCATACTGATAAACAGTTTTTACTTACTATCTAATTTATGCACCCTATCCCAAAAATCATCCTTATCATCATCTTCAGTCGATTTAGATTCTTTTAATTTTCTTATTTCAGATCTTAAATTAGTTAACTCATTAGCCATCAAATTAATCACATCCGATAATGACTTACCAGTTTTATCCCCCGATCTTGCACGTGCTGTTGGTGAAGGGTAAAATACATTGAGCTTCTCATCTATTCTAGACATTTCTGAATTTATTCTGTTTTTGAAAGCAGTAAACTGTCTATTAATAACAGGTGAATTATCATTATCACTCATATTAACAACTAGTTTTATGTTAGATTTTTTCAAATCAATAACGTTATTTTCATCTGGTTTTATAAAACCCGTTAGTAAATCCTTAATTATAACATTAACTAAGGTTGTATTATTACTTCGTACAGCTTGATCTACATACTCCTTATTTGTAGCATCATGTGCTTCTGTAGGTTTTTTAACATTCCGCAGGTATACATTATTTATATTTATTTCATTCTTATCATCGATAAAAATATACTTTCCTAATAGTAAATTAACTTGTTTCAGATTAACTGGTGATTCTTCATTTTTAGCATCATTTATAATAACCTTATAATTTTTTAAATTTACTTCACCTTTTTCTAGTTTTATAAACGATTGGAGTTTCCCACTAATGATATTATCAAAGTTTAGAATCTCCTTATCAAAGTATAATTTGTTAATTGCATGAAAACTATTTGTTGGAATATTTTCAATCTTGAAGTTATTTAGCTTATAGTTTTTACAATCAATCTCATCAACACCAAATACTAGACATTTATCTTTTATTTGTTGAGTCGTATATTTTTCAGTAAACTGTTTTGTAACTGCATCGGTCGATTCCTCCGGCTCAGCAATATTTGTAATTTTAAATTTTTTTGCATTAAAATGACCATTTTCATGTTCTAAACAATGAGATTTCATGTATCTTAATGTAATAGCGTCATTTTCACTGATAGGGTTAGATACATTCGTTATTCTACTATTCCTACAGTTAATTGTATTTGTTACAATATTAAATGTGACACAATTTTCCAAACCCTTGTTAATCCTATTTTTTAAATATTGTTTGTTTACCGCATCAGTATCCAATTCTGGATCAGCCACATCAGCCAACTTCCTTTTTTTTAAGTTAACTTCATTTTTTTCTAAAATGAGACAATTTGATTTAACATAATCCACATTCACAGCATCATTGGAATCTATTGCTAGACCAATATTTGTAAGACGTTTCTTACCAATGTCATAGTCATTGGAAGGTGTCAAATTATACCCTATACCTGGAAGCCCAGGAGGTAACCTATCTTTACTTATATAACCTAAATAACCTCCAAATTTATCAATACTCAACTTCATTACTCTTCAAAGTTTTACTAGTAACTGATGATAAGTTATACATCACATTATGATAAAATGAAGCCTACTGCCTTATCATCACTGATCTAAAAAAAAGAACGTTTTGTTTTGTCATTCTCAGATATTTAATTATATTATTTAAAGATGCGCAAAAAGTATTACCAATCTTTATTTTCCCATCTTTAGCTAATCCAATATAATATCTCTTACTATAATCATCAAACATTTTTAAACAGCTAGGGTTTTCAAATGAATAAAACCTAGTGGATCTACGAATGTTGTTCCTCCACTCTGGAAAGTCTGCAACAATCAACCGATCCATTTCGGGAAGTTTTGATTCTACATTATTTTTAATATATTTTATTGGGTATAACGTATTATTAAAATAAAGATGGATAATATATGAATTCAGTAACCAAAATTCATCAAGCATTGCCGCAGTATAACCTTCCCATTCTTTTAAAAGTTCCGGGTTAATAATTTCATACCCATGGATGCCCTCTATGATTCCAAAATACTTACTATATAGCTTAAGACATGGTAAAGCATTTTTTAAAAAAGAAATAGAATACATACATTGAGCTCTATTATTAACAAGTTCAAAACGTTTCCCTCTCGCCTTAAGTGGTAGAGAATGTGGTATTTTGTTAGAATATTTCACATTATAGCTAATGTCAAGTGCACAATTTTTAATTGCTATTGCAGTCCTATAAAGCGTAATTGGTGATCGGATAGGTATACTAGTTTCAGTTATAACGAAACATTTGTGCACTTGTGGAATTTCAGTAACATAATTTAACATATCGTAATATACGTTTGCATAAGTAATGCTACCATGTTCATTTTTTAAAGAAGCTATTAAATATTTTTTTGAATAAACTTTAGCTATTGGACGAAATCTAGATATAAAATTATAACTGTTTCTTACTGTTCCTTTATACATATGTTCATTGTATATTAATAACTCAAGAGGAACATTATGCTTATCACATGAAACTAGAAAATCAGTCCACATGTTTTTATTATAAATTTTATCTGAAACTATCATTAAAATCACAATTGGAGGTAGTGATGCACTGTTTGTTTTTTTATGCCTCCAACATCTTCGGTTGTAAATCTGATTCTTTTGATGACAATAGTTTCCACAAAATCGCTTTTTACCAGGAATGTATTTAGTGCAAAGGTTTGAAAAGTTCAAACGTCTTTTCTGTCTACTAGCATTATTAAATTCATATGCTTGCACATCATCATATTTCATATTATCCATTTGGATCACAATCTATAGTTCCACTCTGTTACCATGAACTGTCATATGAAGACTGGAATAACTTTATCATATTAACATAGTTTATAGGAGATGGGGTGAACAGATAAGTACAGTTTGGTGTTAGTAATTTCATTTTTTATTTCACATTCATATATATATATAAAACAATACATATCACTCTTAGATACTATATACAAACAGCAATTCGTGAACATAAAATTAATAATTAGTATTCGTAAATGTGGAGATTACAAGTTTAGTCTATAACAACAACTTCATCAAGGTCCGATTCGGGAATTTCATTTTTTATTTTACATTCATATATATATAAAACAATACATATCACTCTTAGATACTATATACAAACAGGTGTTTAGATTGAAATTTAGATAAACAAAACAAGCAATTCGTGAATATAAAATTAATAATTAGTATTTATAAATGTGGAGATTACAAGTTCAGTCTATAACAACAACTTCGTCAAGGTCCGATTCGGGATCCGGAATTGAATCAATTTGTGGTTCAGAGTCCCAATTAACCTCGGGGAAATCAGAGCCCCCATCAGAACCGGTTGAGTCCCACCCTTTAACCCGTTTGGTTTTTTTTACACACCAACGTACTTCATTCACTTTACTCACTACGAGTTGTGCGATTTTTTCATTATCTACAATCTCATACATCTTGTTACTGAAATTTATAAGGAGCACCATGATTTGACCTCTGAAGTCAGAGTCGATGGTCCCCGGAGAGTTCATTACGGTGATCCCGTATAAGAAGGCCAAATCGGTCCGTGGACGTATTTGTCCCTCATAGCCTTTTGGGATGGCTACTGCTATCCCTGTAGGTACCAGTGTATAACTGTTCGGGTAGAGTCGTAAACGATTGAGTGGGCCGGGGAGGTAGGCGTGCAAATCCAAGCCCGAGCGCCCGTCCGAATGGTATTTCGGGATAGTCACCAGATCTTCGAAAACTGAATGGCCAGGGACTTTTATAATTTTTACTTCCACCGCATTTTCTGAAAATAAAATCAAACGAATCTATGTATAAGTACGAAACTACAACTTCGATTTTATGCGAATTGGGTAACAAAAACAATCGGTATCAAAAAAGTACAATTCATCCATTTCCCCAATAAAAACGAATTTATCTGAAAAAAAGAAAAGAATCTGTTAAAAAATGTATATCGTCTTTAACAGAAAATATGTTAACTATTGATTTCTCAATTGACTTTCCTTCTTTTTATTTTAAGTTCATCATGAATAGCTTGTTTTCTTTTACGGTTATTAGTGAGTGCGTAATGCCCATGGGGTAAAGTGTGTATGTTATCACTCATTACGAACCTTTTATCATCGAATGATGATAGTGCTACTTTACTTAAATTACAAGTGTACAAAATATGTTTGAAACTTCTAAACAAATGCATACTCCTATATTGAGTTTTGTTATTAAACAAGGTATTTTCAAAATCTGAAAAATCTATTTCTTTTTGAACAACGGATTTCTTAACACCTTTAGCTCTTTTTGTACATGATAATTCTGCAGTTAATATCGAATACAATTTACTTCTTAATCCTAAGAATTTGTGTAATACAATTGCACCGAATTCATCTTTCATGAGTCCAACCTGCGCTTTTCTTGCTAGTGAAAAGCAAGGATGGGTTTCAGGGTAATTGCTAAAATCAAAAATCTCAGGGTTTTCTCTCATTAAATTATACACATCATGACATTTAATTGTATACACAAAACTATCGGTATCTTGGTAGTTTAATTGCATGTTTTCGAATCCAAAAACTTTCGCAAAGGTTTGGTAATGATATCTATACATCAATGTTTTACTTAGTTCTAGCACAGCTAAACCAATATAAATTGGTTTATTAAATTTCACCCTTGTTTTTGACAGGTGAACGGCTACCAAGTCATTTGAAAAGATTGTTCTGTCTAAGAAATTAGGTTTTGAAATTAATTTGGAAAGTCTCCGATTGTTGTTACAAACTAACTCCATATTTAACCTCTTACGGACATTTTCCATTGTTTTCCCAAAATAGGAATTATTCATTAATTTAAAGAAGTCCTTTTCAAAAGGATTCTTGGCAGCCGCTCTAAGTTCAGTATTTTTGTTTATATACTGTTCTAACCAATTTGATTGACGGAACTTTATGGCTCGGTGTATTTTAGTTAGGATTAGACCGTGTTTCATAGCCTGTTTCAGATTTTGGACGTGTAAAACATAATTCGTTTTATCATCTAGGGTTGTCAAAAGTTTTTCAAACCTACCATTTGGGGGTTTTTTATTTTCTGGGCAAAAAGGGAACGCTGCATGTTTATCATGCAGCGATTGTGGATATGTTAAATCTACTTCTAGAATATATCCAAATTCATCGGATTTTTTTGTTTGTAAAATTCTATCCGGTAATGATTTTAGCTCCTCGTTTGAACACCATGAAAAATCTTTATGAGGCATCGGTTGGGACATGGCCCAGCCATAAAGATTATTGACGTCATAATACATCAAATAAGTGGATGTATTATGAGCGGAATCTGAATCATCAATATTAACATCTGAGGATGTACTATCGATATATTTGTTCTTTGCCTCGCTAAAACGAGTTATTACTTGCGAGATACCACCTCTAATACCCTTCTCTATTAACATAAATTGTTCATAATCTGTAATTAAATCTAATTCAATACCAGTCATCTTTAAACAGGCGTCCCAAGAGAGGCCTGGTGCAGTATAATACCATGCGGGGTCCAGATCATAATTCGATTTACATACTTTCCTGAAATTTTCAAATATATCCGCAAGAATTAATGTATCTGTTTTAAGATACAAATCTGAGTATTCACCCAAGTTCTTAATATTAAACTTTTCCCATACTTGATGAGCGTGCTCATATTGACTTTGAGTTATATCAGAGTTATTTAGTGTGCTAAAAAATTGATTTTTAGCAGGCAAACAAGTTTCATTCAATTTGTCCCAACTTGAGCAATATTCATAACAAAAGATACCTTTTTTAGTTACTAGGTTACATTCATCCCCAAAGTGTGCTTTTGTCTCCCTAAATTGATCATGACTTAGATTTTGTGACAATGCGTCTAAACTACTACTCATAAATCTAAAAGAGTCAATAAATCTTAATTCGAACTTATTACTCACTTTTTTACTGAGTGAAATGTATTTCTCCTCTGTGTTTGGTATGACTTTAATAGCATAATCGTCAATATTTAAATTTTGGCACACGTAGTGAAGGTCGTAAGAACTAAGATTGTGCATTATAACGGGTAAAAAGTTTGGATTTTGAAAGAGTAAGTTACATTTATTATGTGCCGCCCCTCTAAAGGAGCCAGATATATGACAGTGATCTTTTACGATTATATCATCTGCTTCAAAATCTAATTCACAAATATGGCATTGTGTTGACGATTCGAATGTATTTATTTCATCAGTAGTTAAATCCCTCATGGGAACTATATCATTATAAATATCCATAACTTTTAGAGCTTCCTGTTTTAATTTTTCCACAAAAACCCTACCTGCATCTTCACCACGGTACACCACTGGTTCCGATCTTATTCCTAATGTATTTACTATATGATAAGCAAAGCTCATAGGAACATGTTTGGTTTGTTTCTCAGTATATGAATGATTTTCATCTATTTCTTTAGATTTTAAAAAGCACACTTTGGGTTCTGAGCAAGTTGCCTCATTACATATCGGGCAAGGATTTTGTTTAACTAGTAACGCCTCAAAATCGGCATAAATTACATAGGGTACAATTTGTTTATTTTTAAAGTTAGTGAAACGTAATTTACTTTCTGTTTCGTCCGGCATTTCAACTTTTACTGGCGTATTTGAATTACACATTATCTTATGCTTTTCAAAACCCGTTTTTGTCGTGAAATGAATGAGGCAACTCTTACACACATAAATTCTTCCATGATGATTTGTAATTTGGTGACATACTAGTTTTTCAAAATTACTTATATACGCAAAGTGTGTTGTTGTATCATTTTTTAACAGTAACAAATCCCTATGGTCTGATTTTTCAGTTTTACAAATTTTGATTGGAAATACATAATGTTTCTTAGTTTTCAAATCTTTTTCCAACCCGAACACATTCAAACTAATGTTATTAGCTTTTTCAAACTTGGGTATATCTTTTACAGAAACAGGAAATTGTATGACATCCCAATTATATTTATTTTCTAGTTCTGGATTGTTATATTTTGAAACTCTATGTGCATTACCACCTTCAACAAATTTCGATAATATTGCATATTTAAAACAATTAGGGTCATTATTTACGACATTTATAACTGCATGTTTAGAAGCTATATCCGCAGGAAGGGGAATATGTTTACAACCTTTAAGAGGAGTGTATTTGTTTATTCTAATTTCTAGACCAATTATTTTACTGAGACTCCATCCTGAGCCACGAGTTAGAAAGTCACTCTCCTCTTTTATTAACTTCTGATAAAAATCTTCACAGAATAATTGCAAATCTGTTGATGAAAACACCGGCTCATTGCGGGTTTTAAAAGTCAATTCCTTCCTATCCTTTTGAATGCCATCTTTTACATATATGGCTTTTAGAATAAAATTACATTTTATAGCTCTACATTCTGTCACTTTTTCTTCTAGTTTGTCAATAACAAATGGCTTACAATGTTCAAAAAAGCCTACATAGTCCAAATAGTCAAGTCCGTTTTTTAAAAAATATGTTTGTAGTCTACATTTAGCAGCACTTTCAGTTTTAACTATCGGGGGAAACCCATAAAGTTTAGTAAAGTGTTCGAGAGTACTTAAGTGTTTATCACTTTCCCGATGCCAAACGTCACACGTTTTACACAGTTTTAACTTTATAGTGGAAATAAATTTTTCCATTTTAAAAGAGTATTAATTGATGTCTCAATTCACTAACACCAAGGATTATTTATAGAGTACTACAGTTTTTAAATTGTCAAAGTTTTATATTTTACTATGTTAAAGTTTTTATAAATTTCACTACACTACTATGCGAAGTTTTATATGTCACACACTAACCATCAATGCGACGGCGCTTCAGGATGTTTGCCTTCACCGCCGCCAACCTTCTGGTCTGCTCGACGCTCAAATCTGCGCCCGCCGATATGATGGTGATGGCATCCCCGTAGTCGCCGAACTTGGCCATCAGCGAAGCGATCTTACTGCAGTAGGGCAGCTTCACACGGAATGTGATTTCATCCTTCTTCGTAATCTAAACAAAACAAAACTAATTAGCTAAATGTATATGCTAATCATTTACAAAACAATTCAATAAATAAAAAGGTAATCCTCATATGAAACAGTAAGAAATTTTGTTAACTAGCACTATGAATGTATTTAACAATAAAAAAAAGAAGCTGCGTAATTTATATAAATTAAAATATGAATAGTCGGTAAATTAATAGTTCCACTAGTAACATTTATAAAAACAAAACACCTTTTATTGAAATACAATCGACTAAAAGTTATTAAATTAAAACTGTCGATTAAAAATAAAATTGTTTAACAAATAAACTATGTACGCATTTAATTTTTTGGATAAATGTAAATCAACTTAGACTTGATAAGTTTATACGAAATATTACCATCTTTTACTGGCTTAAGTATGAAAAAACTAGAACTAATTATTAAAGTGAATAAAACCAAACACCTTTTATTGAAATACAATCGACTAAAAGTTATTAAATTAAAACTGTCGATTAAAAATAAAATTGTTTAACAAATAAACTATGTACGCATTTAATTTTTTGGATAAATGTAAATCAACTTAGACTTGATAAGTTTATACGAAATATTACCATCTTTTACTGGCTTAAGTATGAAAAAACTAGAACTAATTATTAAAGTGAATAAAACCATTTTATTAATAATACAACTAAAATCAGTAAAATAATTTGAATTAGTTTAAAAATTATTAATAACAGTTAAATATGAATGAGTATTAAAAAATTAATTAATCCAATTCATCCAAGCTTATATTTTCGTTCATAAAATAAAATATCAAAATGGAATTATTTTTTTTAATGCAATTCATTAGCAAACATATTATTTAACTAACCAAAAAATATAAACAATGCATATAATAATTTACGATATTAAAATTAGTATCAATTTAAATAATCAAATAATTATTTATGCAATATAGTTTTAAAAACAAGTTAATACCTAAAATAGCTATGAGAGAGTTTTAAAATTGGGAAACATATTATGCAGCCAGATTTTCTGAATATGAATTAAGTTTATCGGTTGATAAAGTAAATTATACTGTTAAGAAACACTTTAAAAAGAAAAGCTTAATAGTAAGTAAGATATAATTGTTAAAAGTGTTACAGTATTAAAAATGTCAGTTAAAAAGGCATAGGCTACTCTCACCTCAACATTCCCTTGTGGAAAAACCGACTTCAGTACGATGAAGAGGTCCTCGGCACTCTCGAGACCAGCACCATCGATGTACGACACGTCCCAAACTGAGGGCGTAGTCAAAGCCGAGGACGTCATGGTGGAAGTGGAACTGATGGTGCTCGATAAGAATATCGGAGTATATATACCCGACCGCGAAGGCCGCGCAGGGTCACCGGTCCATGGGTCAAACACGTGTACAGCATCACCCAGTCACGCGGCCAAGTGCGCAGAACACTACCAACTATAATGGCAGTACACGTCCTCATCACATGATCGGTCCAACTTTTGACAATCAGAAATTTCCACTAATACGAACTTAGTCGATAAAATACTAAATTTGACATTTACGTAACCTATATATTACAACACTTGTCTACACATCACTACATGACTACAAAATAATATTTAGTGAAAAATGTTTAATTATAATTTAAACTGAATACACATTTATTTAACACATTTATTTTACCCCATTTTCATAAATTACTTTAATGGGGTAGAGGTAATATAAACATACCCACTTTAGTTCATATATTTAATTAGCATGAACATGCATTACACATTTTTATTTAATAATCCAATTTCAAAAAATAATTATCAAATAACTTAAACGAAGCAGTTTCCTTTAGCTTGGAATATTAAATAAACACCTAAGATAATAATTTAATATTTTTAACACACACAATAACTTGACTCGCAACACTAATATGTGACATAGCAGTTTGTTTAACTGAAATATCACATACATCATATATAATGATGACATAAACACTCTATACATAATATAACTAATTAAAGCAGGTAATATCCTATTTAGGCTGCTATAAAATAAAACAACAATTACACACATTTGATCATTGTGTATAACATTTATTATACATAATAATAAATATCATAAAACACTGTACGCATAATACAACTAAATAAAGCAAGTAATACTCTATTCACTTTCAAGTAAAACAACAATATTACACATTTGCTATCATAACAACTATTAAACTCCCATTATAGTAAAGGATTTTAATATTTATCAATTTGGAAATATGCAATAATAAAAGTTGTAGCATAAATTACTACGGATGGAAATATATTAGGATAGTTTAGATTTAGTGACATGAGTTAGTTTGAAAACCATATATTATGAAACTCGCTCGTAAATAAAGACCTTTTTATTTATTTATTTTAGCATATTATGTTATATAAGCATTCATTCAATTATTATACTCGCATTAGTTACATCACTATATACGATGTTCAACAACCATCGTGGTTTGTTCCCACACTTAGGTTACATAATAAGCTACACGTGGCATTCTTACTTCCACATCAAAAACCGTTCCTACACTTTGGTTAATACCCTAAACAATTAGACCCCCTAGCTATTATGATAATAACATACTACCATATAATCATTCCTCGTCTAACAAACTACTTAATCATACCTCAAAGTCCATTCCCACACTTGGTCTAATACCATAAACAGTTAGACTCTCTAGATATTATGATAATCATTCTTCATCTAACAAACTACTTAATTATACATCATCTAACAAACTACATTCCACCCGGCCCACACGCCCACGGCGCTCCGGAGATTTCACCTTACATCATCAACTACACCTCTGCTTGCCCAACCAACTCACCTACACATCTTACCTCCTCACACTGCCATCTTAACATGCTAAAATACTTATTTGCACGTGCTGTTTTAAAACACCCAGTCCCCCTCTACTCATAAACATTTTACAAACATATGTACATAGGCGGTTATTTACAGAAAAAAACTTAAAACTAACATTGATGGGTGATGTGTAGAGATAGTTCAGTGGAATTGTTTCCGCAAACTCCGTGTGATACCAAATATAGGGATCCTGGTTGAATACCTCGCAGGTCTTCGTTTTGTAGCTGCTGCACAAATCGTCTTGGAAGATAAACTTGAAATTTTGGTTCATCGCCTGGTGAAAACGGTGCCTCGCTCAGTGATGCTAAAATTGCGTCTCCATGTGAAGTTTCTGTCTTCTTCAGCTCGTGAACGATGTAGTGTTTGTGTTCCTTCAATTCGTGACATTTCTTAGTACTTAGAATGCTGGATTTGGACTGGGTGTTGAACTGATCCACCAAAGACTGGAGAAACTGTTGTGAAGCCATTTTCTTGATTAGGACTACCCTGTGAGATGTTGCCTCTGCGATGTCTGGAGTAATACTGATGAGGATCCTGAGACTGTCCACTGTATTTATAGCACACGTTCCCCCCCTCCACTGCTATTTCCTTCGTAATACTTCCACTGTTGCTGTTTGAATTTATTTTTGTCCCAATAGTGAAGAACTAGAAAATTAGCTAATCGGTGTGCGTTTTGTAGTGCACATTGTGTTACTGTGCGATAAGAGTGATCTGTTAAAGTACAAATAGGTCCATAATTAATTTGATGATCCTTGTCCATTCTTATGTCGAAAACATCGTGATATGTGTATTGTTGTATCCATTGTCTTTTTTCCGATCCTCTTGTATAAATATGGGAAAACTTGTTAGAAAAATGATACATGATATTGTTCAAGTGCTTATAGCTTATCAATCCTTCGTTCCACTGAATATGGTGAAAATGTTTGGTTATCCATTTGTTTGTTCTTCTTGCTTTGTCATTCAATTGGTTTACTGAAAATGGAGCTTCAAATATAAACGGGTATACGACATGTGTAATCAAATCTAAAATCACTAATTCTTTTATCACAAATTCATCTTTGTTATCACGAAATGCTTGAAATTCTATTACACAGGGTTTTATATCCATAATGTTTAACCCTATCTACACACCACCACGTATAGTGTTCAACTGAATTCACACCGCGCCTTGGTCACTCTTTTATACTGTTTTTCTTTAATTACACTTCTTGGGTTGCTGGTTCTTCTTGGTTTATAGTTTCATATTCTTCAACAGCTTCTATCGCTTCTATCGCTTCTTCATCAATTGATTCGAAGTTCCTTAACTGTCTCCACATACCAACTTCATGAGGCAATCTATTAAAAATAGATGTATCCACGTGTCCGTATAATATGGTGCTTTCCGGTTGTTTTTCCAGTGTATCAATTAAATACTCTTTGATGATTGAACTTGAGAATACAAGTTGTTTCATATATCTAGAGATAGGAGACGTTGCATGCATTAAAATGTAGAATTCTTCACGTGAGAGTAAAATTTTACTTTCATGTTGAGTTAAATCTCTAAATCGTACTTGTAGTGTTCCACGATTCTTTACTATGTCAATTTCATTGTCAGAATCCAAAAGTCGAATATTAGTTTTCCTTCCGCAAACATTAGTATTTAAGTAACATTCAATTAGATTTAAATGTTTTAGAAAAGATTCCCATGCCGTTTCAGAAAATATAACCATTTTTGTACCATGCTGCAAGATTACTGTAGGTGTATATTCCGAAGATTTCATTAGTCCAGCTGTTACACTTTTACCCAAACATAGTGAGATAGGATAGTAAATGCGTAGGAAAACTTCTTTCAAAATATTAATTGGGATTGTATCTTCATCTTTCCGCTTCCTTTTAGTGCCATTTTTTTTAGTTTTTTCTTCTTTTTCTTCCTTGTCCTCCTTGTCTTCTTGTTTTCGAAACTTTAAAAACTCTTCTATTTCATTGACGATTTCTTGATGGTTTTCTTGATCCAATAATGCTGCTTCCTCTGCATCCTTTTGTACGACTGATGGAGAACTCATTTTACTCATGATGTAGTGTAGGATGTTACCCATTCAACGAACGAGCAAAGACTGATTGGTGGTGTGCGAAGCTCCTCCTTTTATAGCCGACTGGTGGTTGTGGTGAAACTCATTTACAACACTGTTTTGACTAATCCCGTCAATGGTGTGTACGTTACAATTTTATCATGCAAAATTAAACAATATGCAGATGTTGCATCAGGAACGTTCTCTTCAAACTCCATTTCTATTTTTATATCCACACTTGATGACTTTACAGATTCGTTTTGTTTTGAACAATCTATTACAATTATTGGAGCTTTTGATTCGTACTGCTCGGGAGACAGTATCGGGGTGTTTGTTTTCCCGTAGTATGAACTTTGGAATCTAGCGTACATATCATACAAAACAGTGTACCTCTTCTTAGTGAAAGAAATATTAAAGTTGTCGTAAGGGAAAAATTGTGAATTAAGAAACACTTTACAATTTGTTAGTTTGCAATGATCGAAATGACCGGCATTAGCTAGTATATTATTCCTTTTTTTTTGTTTGTAGTGCAAATATTACATATCTTGCTTTTTCCAAATGAGTAGATGTTTTTACAGTCCATGTATGTCTTTGTGTTTTAGGTAAAACTGGATATTCATGAAATTCCCAACTTCTGAATGGTATTACAATATCTCTATCTGATTTCAGTTGTCTCAACAGTGTTATTCTATGTTCGTCATTTAATCGCACATGTGGTACTCTCCAAACGATTTTGTCCAAAGTTAAATTCCAGTCTAAATTTGCATCAGTGGTTCCAGTTGCTGCGCAAATAGTATCCTTATCATTTGATGATCTTAATAACACTAATTCCTGTTTCACATTTATTATTACTCTTCTGTAATCTTCAGCAAAGCCTAGAAATAATTTCAATGGTATGTAGAAATCAAAGTTCCCTGCAGAATCAGGGGTGATTGTGTCGTTATCGGGTGCAACCCATCCTCCAATTCTTAACAAATTCTTCTCGTTTTGTGTCAAAGATGCTAATCCTTTTAATGTGCTTGTTAAACCTACTTTCTTTGTAGAATCCACAGTTACTCCAGATATTTCATATCTAATTTCATCAAATAAAAATGCCATTGGATTATTGATAAAAGGAACGGTGGTTCCAGCTGTTCCATCTTTTTTTGTTACTCTTCCTTCAATATATAGATAACTTTCGCACGGAAGAGTGTAAATATCCTGTTGTTGTATAGGAATTCTAATTTCATCATTATTATTCAATTTTGACGAAGCGTAGGGGTTGTGCGTGTGATACTCCTTTTCCCATAAAGTCTCGTCGAATGTCGGTCCTTGTGCTATATCCAGTATTTCCATTTTCAATGAGTTTTAATCCAATATCCTGTAAA